GAGGCCCACGCACCGAAAAAAAAAAAAAAAAAAAAGAATATATGTGTGTATAACTGAGTCACTTTGTTGTATGGCAGAAATTGAACACACATTGTAAATCAACTATATTTCGGTAAAATTAAAGAAAGAATAAACATCATTTAGTTTTCATAATCATCCTTTGAGGTAAATACTATTATTACAGATGAGGAAACTGAGAAACCCGGAGAAATGAAGTAACTTCCTGGAAAGCATTAAGATCATAAGTGGTTGAGCTAGGATCTTTTTCTAAGTGGTCTGATTTCAGAGGCTGTGCTCTAAGAAAAAAAGACTACCTTAATATTGTGGTAAAAACAATGTGATTTGTTCACCAAACCATTTCATTTTCTTCCTAGGCACACAGGAAGACCATACTTCCCAGCTCCCTGGCCTTTTAAACAAGCCATGTGGCTAATTCTGGCTGATGGAATGTGGGTGGATATATATATATATAAAAAAAAAAATCTCCAGGTTAGAGCGATGGCTTCCCAAGATGAAGAGACTGTATCTGTAGGTTATTATTTACAGGAGAGCCTCTCCATCAGGTACATCTTTACTGAACTTTGTGAGCACAAGAAATGAACCCTTTCTGTGCTAAGTTACTGAGATTTGGTGGGGTGTTCGTTATGGCAGCTTGTGTAAATAATACTAATAGAAAATTTAAAAAATTTAAAAATTATGAAATATTTCAAAAATATTGAAAAGTGCAGAATATATTAAAAATCATATCTCTATCCCCAGATTTAACATATATTAATATTGTCACATTTCCTTCTGGTTGTTCTTCAAGAAACCCATTAGATATAACTAATAGCTAATAACCAATAAAGCATCACCTCATCCCTAACCCTTCCTTAGAAGTAACTACTATCCTGAAGGTGGTGTCTATTATCCTCATTTACATTTTTTACTTTGTCTACGATATATTAAATTTAGAGTATTTTGTGTGCTTTAAAAATAGGAATGGTATCAAAAAGATGGGTTTTTTTTCCATTCCATATTGTTTTTGAGGTGTCTCCGTGTTGGTACATGTAGGTCTAATTTATTCAATTACAGAGGTATGTAGAAATACAGTAATTTATGTATCCATTCTCCTACTGAGAGACAGTTGAGATTCTTCTTATTTTTTTGCTTCTGCAAACAACATTGCGATGAACTTCCTTGTACCTGCCTAATATCATAGAGTCAGGGGAGGCCTCTCTGAGGATTTTCTCATTTAAGCTGATACTGGAAGGATGAGAAGCCAGCCACGTGAAGAGCTGGGATACCAGTGTTTCAGGTATCTGGAACAGTAGACAAGCCCTAACACCTTAGGGAATGGCACGTACTTGATCCAGTGAAGTTACAGTGAAGTGAATGAAGGAAAGAGTGGCAGGGGGAGGGGGTGGGGGAG